CCCTCCGATCCTCCAGCGCTGGCTGGAGGAATGGATGGGGGAGGGGCGGGCACAGCTGGCTCTGCCTCTAGATAGGCAGAGCCTGCTGTCAATCAGCCAGTGGGGTGGATCCCGACAGTATTGTACTGCTTTACTGCGGCGCTCTCAGAATATACCGGGCAATAGCTCGCTGTATACTGAGTATTGGGTCACGGGAAGAAGGTTAGTATATGTCCTCCCATGACCGTAAAGAAAGCTATGGGATAAAAAGGTTACCCCATAGTTCTCTTTTAAATACAATGGCCTTATCCACTGGAGTCTACTTTCTAAAATGTACACTCCACAGAGTCCACGCAGTCATTGCACTGACTTTAAGAACTAATCATTGTGACATCTCTGTTTTTAGTGCTGCCAATTATGTGGCAGGCCTATATTTTAGGATTTCAATGAAGAATACAGTTTCATGCTAGGGTATAGGCAATTACTGAGAGACAGAAAGCATCATTGTGATATACAGAGAGCTTCAGCATTTCAGTTCCCCCTCCTTTCTCTCTATCTGATCTTAGCTTCTGGGCTCATTCAAATGGGACACATTGGTTTTATCTCAGCTCGGTGCATTCAGCTGTAAACCATAGGAAGTCCTGCCTAGAGGTGACAGTTTGGGCTCCCATTAGCTGCAATCACACTTCAGTGAGTTGCTGCACTGCTACCGGGTCCATCAGAATAATTACTGCAAGTATTTTCCCCCGTTCTCTATACACTTGTCAGATTTCCTGCTAAAATTGCAGTCCAGAATAACTGTTAATTCATCAGAACTCCATATACACTATTTATACCAACTCTGTGTATTAAATGACGGCTAGTAGAAAAAGAATGAGAACATTCTAGAATGTTTTATCTTCTTTATCTTTACCCAAAATGTATTTTTTGTTGTTGTTTTGGGTAGGCCTCAGGCGGCTGACCTGAAGATGGTTAGATGGATGGATGGGTGGTAAGATGGCTAGATAGTTGGATGGTTAGATAGTTGGATGGTAAGAAGGATGGATGGCTGTATAGTTGGATGGTAAGATGGCTGTATAGTTGGATGGTAAGACGGATGGATGGATAGATAGTTGGATGGTAAGATGGATAGATAGTTGGATGGTTAGAAGGATGGATGGATGGAAGTATGGTTAGATAGTTGGATGCTGAGAAGGATGGATGGATAGATAGTTGGATGGTAAGAAGGATGGATAATAGATAGTTGGATGGTAAGATGGATAGATAGTTGGACGGTTAGAAGGATGGATGAATAGATAGTTGGATGGTAAGATGGATAGATAGTTGGATGGTTAGAAGGATGGATGGATGGAAGTATGGTTAGATAGTTGGATGCTGAGAAGGATGGAGGGTTAGATAGTTGGATGGTAAGAAGGATGGATAATAGATAGTTGGATGGTAAGATGGATAGATAGTTGGACGGTTAGAAGGATGGATGAATAGATAGTTGGATGGTAAGATGGATAGATAGTTGGATGGTTAGAAGGATGGATGAATAGATAGTTGGATAGATAGCTGGATGGTAAGAAGGATGGATGAATAGATAGTTGGATGGTAAGATGGATAGATAGCTGGATGGTTAGAAGGATGGATGAATAGATAGTTGGATGGTAAGATGGTTAGATAGTTGGATGGTTAGAAGGATGGATGAATAGATAGTTGGATGGTAAGATGGATAGATAGTTGGATGGTAAGAAGGATGGATGAATAGATAGTTGGATGGTAAGAAGGATGGATGAATAGATAGTTGGATGGTAAGATGGATAGATAGTTGGATGGTAAGATGGATAGATAGTTGGATGGTAAGATGGATAGATAGTTGGATGGTTAGAAGGATGGATGAATAGATAGTTGGATGGTAAGATGGATAGATAGTTGGATGGTAAGAAGGATGGATGAATAGATAGTTGGATGGTAAGATGGATAGATAGTTGGATGGTTAGAAGGATGGAAGTATGGTTAGATAGTTGGATGCTAAGAAGGATGGATGGATAGATAGTTGGATGGTAAGAAGGATGGATGGATAGATAGTTGAATAGATGGGAAGAAGGATGGTTGGATAGATATTAAGAGGGATCACTTTCACACATACATATTAAATAGCTAGGAGTTTCCCCCGTCTCACTCCCCTTAGTGAAATATTCTTCCACCAGGCTTGAGATTTTATATTCTATAAGAACTGTAGCAAATCGTATTGACAGTTGTCACTTTGTATAGAATGCTGTAAAGGCTCTTATTGGATTCTACCCAGAATATCTATATTTTTTTAAGTCTGGGTGACTGCAGGTCTATGTGTGTACATTTACACGTTCAATAAAAATATATTAATCTAAACAAAATAAACAGATGCAGCTACCACTCATAAAGCTGGCCATAGGCCAAAGTCCTGCTACTGAAATCCATGCAGTGTGTAGCCCCTTTGGCGCAGAGGTTCATCAAAAGTCAACTTTTCTGAAAGTCTGAAAATTCTTTAGCCGAACAGAGACTTCAGCCAATCAGCTGCCATACTGTTTTGCGTGAATCAAGCGTTTTTACATGTATGGCCTGTTTAAGGACTGGTAAGCTGCAATATTAGATTGGATTTACAAATGCTTTAATATGTCTACAAAAAAGTTTTTTTAAATGTGATTTGTTTCGCTTCTACGTGTCTCGTTCTGCGTGGCTGTTAGTTTTATCTAGAACAGTTTCTAAAAGGAAAACCACATAAGGTGTTGAGAAAGGCCCTGCTAACTGGAGGAAGCCATACCTCCCCAGGATATTGTCACAGACCTGTGGCTTTAGCAGTTTCCTTTCAAGATAAACTGCATGCAGCGCTGAAGCTGAGCGTGCTGTTGGACCGCAGACTCCGGCGTGAATTGTTAGCAGAGCTTATGAAATGAATCTATTCTGAACATACTTCCAGCCTTGTTGTATTAATAAGACAGGTGGATGACCTAGCTATATATAAGCATCAGACCTGTTTAATAAAGAATGTGATATCTGATTGTCATAAAATGACGATGAGATTGCAGAAGTATTTGTGACATAAGAATACCTACCATTGCATTATAATAGTGACTGAATTTACAACAGTATTTGCGGCACTACAGTACCTCTATTTAATATCAACGGTATGATCCTATTTTATCCTCACAGGTTCCCTTTATAGATAAGCATACAGCCTCCCATTGCGGGTATGTACTTGCATACAGCCACCTATGCATACAGACATAAGTCCGTATGAACACACGGCTGTAGGTAGGCAAGTACCGGCGTATACCTGTATACAGCCATTGATTTCTATGGAGGGCACAATATGCAGAACCTGCTGCTCTCTGGTGCCAATACTTACATTGTACAGGCTCAGCCCTTAATTGATTGTTTACTCAGTAAGGTAGTGCTAAGATATAATGATGAACACACTGCAGACCCAAATATGCAAATCTGACCCCAGTGAAAAAAATGATCTCTTTACTGACCAGACTTCAGTGAGCTCGAGTCTGTGATCTGGACATCAACACAGCTCAGCATGAAAGGATGTTTGAGTTTGTTGTTCTGGGACTGAAAACCTTTCTTCCTTTTTCAAACTGGAGAAAGGAAGTATGTACTGTACCCTGGTAATCCCATGACAGTTTGTAAGCCAGCCTGTTATCTAGTACAAAAAGAACCACTTCCCGCCTTAACCTGAAGTGGCATTGGCTTTATTAAAGGGGTCTCCCTTCCACCGTGCTCCTGTAAGCACCAGTCGGACTCTCATGTAGTTGTTTTTTAGGTTGTCTCAGCAGACCATCCATCTAACCTGATAAACGTGCCATAATATCGAAATGGATGAGCCGCAGTAACCATTTTGTAGAACATTTGTATGTTTAGAGGCCATTCCGCAACTATGGCAGGCGCTTCCTGGCCAAGCCCGCTTAGGGGAACGTTGATAAGTTTTCCCAGCTGGCTGCTATTGTTTCCCCCAAAACAGTCGGCAGTCACATTGCTCCCTTCTCCATAGGGATGTTTGCATGTTTATAGTGAGATTGTTTAGTTGGAAAGATTGTGAATGCGAGGCTGCCCACCATGTAATGTGTGTAGACCACTTGAATATGAATAGTGTTATCTGTATGTGTTAATGTTTTCTACAACCTTGTTGCTCTGAATAGTTTGTGGTTATGTGTGTGTATGGGGGGCAGCATTTTCAATGCTATTATCTCTGCTGATCAAAAGCAATAGGCTTTCTGCAGTAATGTATTTGTAGACCTTGTTACCTGGGCTTAGAACTTAGGAACAAGAGTTTTTTATTCATAGGAATTAAGAGTTGTTGTTTTTTTAATTAAAATCATTTGATTTCTTAATTCTGACATGTTGATTGTTTGTATGTTCCTATTGGGTCAACTTAAAGAATAACTAAAGGCAAAACTTTTTTTTTTTTTTTTTTAGATTTGGATAGGGAGTTAGAACCATTGTCAGGTTTTTATTACTGTCAGAGTCCCCGTTAGGGAGATTCGCAACTCTCTAATTGTCCTGATGACCATCAGGACTAAAAGTCGAGGTAAATCCAACAGAACAGGAATAGAGGGGAACTCTTCCAATGTAGATACTTGCTCCAGTGACAAACTCTGTAACGGGGGATTTCTCTCACATTGGAAAGTTATCCTCTCACTTCCTGTTAAGTCTACAAGACAGGAAGTGAAGGGAAATCTCCCTTGAGACACAGATGGTTTGTGAAAAACTGACAATGGTTTCAACCTTCCTCTACTCCGTCCAGAATTTAAAAACTAAAAATTAGATTTACTTTAAATCAACATCCTCCTTCTAGAGAAGACTCGAAACTAGGTTAGGCTGGAGTTCCTCAAATGTCTAAACACCAAATTATCTGTCAAAAGTAGCAAAATAGCTGAAATTTAGTGTCTGTGCAGAAATGTTTATTCCTTCTGTAACATATCGTTATTTGATAAGTATTCGCAGTTTGCATGTCTGATGAGGCTAAACTTGTCCCCTTGTTTCCCCTCAATCAGGGAGGAAGTACAGGAAAACTGTGTACGCTGGCAGAAGAAACTGACCTTTGTCTGTAAAATGAGTGCCAACCCTGCCACGGGCGTGCTGGACCCCTGCATGTGTAGAGTCTCCGTCCGGAAGGTGAGCAGATGACAACTGTGACACATTGCTGGAGCAAGGGGGGGCGTCATCTGGTGTGTGCTTGAAGAGGCCATTATGTCTACTAAGCCGTATAATCTGAGCGTATGGTCCATGGATTTAGTACGATGCTGAGACCAAGTAATTGTTCACTGAGGGTTATACAACTGAATTGGCAAAATGACATCATGGGCAGAAAGGGAGCTGTGCCAGAAAGCCTGTGGGATATCGCTTCAATTGTATTGTATCCCCCAGGCCTGAGTGTGGCCATGTTGTCATTTGTTCCTTGGGAACACGGCCTGCAAATTGCTGGCTCGGCCCCTCCTTAGCTCTCAGTGAATTAAATAGACCGTGCAGTGAATGTGTGCCTGTCTCCTGTACAAAGGCCAGGCAGACATTTTTGGGGTACACCATTATTTAAAGGAAAAGTTAGCAGTGTAAAACTGGGTACACACTGGTAGATTTTTGTACGAACGTACTGTACATAAGAAAAATCTCATCAGAACATTCAATGATGTCATCAGAGTGTTGACAAATGTCGTTCCAAATTTTTTGATTCCAACATTTGCTTTTGGAATGCATGGAGTTTCCAGAACGAAAATCGCATTCACTGTTCAATATTTCCATCCTGCACCTTTTAATCGTATTATTATTTTTTTTGTCACTACTTTCGAAGCACAAATGTCAATTTGACCCCATTAACTATTAGGACATGGAACGAATATTCCAAAAATGTATTTTATCAAAAAATTTCTGCTGACTTCACTATGCGCAGCAATACTACATACCGTGTTCAGTCATAGGGCCAGACGGAGAGCTCCTGGCTGTTCTCTGCTGTGGAGTCAGAGAGAGTGTCTATGAAGGCAAAACATGTCTATATATTTTTAGCTTTGGATAGAGTACGGAAAGGTAAGTACCCCTGGCAAGTTTTTATTGCAGCGTTTGTGACCGCTGGGAAGATTCCCCCTCTCTATTTGTCCTAAAACTTGTCACCAAGACAGAAAGCGATCAGAAATCCAAACCTATGGAGTTGTCAGCAGAGCAAGAGATGAGGGGAAACTTGCCAGTGGGGGCAAATGTCATGGTGACAACTGTGCAAGAGGGGAGTTCCTTGACCTTCTGGGGAAATTTCCTCTTTTTTCTGTTGTTTCTCCAGAACAGGAAGTGAAGAGAAATCTTCCCAGTGAGACACACACAGCAAAAATAACCTGATGGGTTTTATCCCTTCCCTACTCTATCCAAAACTAGAAAACACAAAATGTGACTATATACACTATATTGATTTGCTGTTGTGCCATTCTGAAGGCCACACAAAGTTTGGAGGTCTGTAGCTATTGACTCTGCAGACAGTGACTTCTGCGCACTGTGCACTTTAGCATGCGCTGACCCCGCTCTGTCATTTTACGTGGCCTACCACTTTGTGGCTGAGTTGCTGTTCCCAGTTGCTTCCACTTTGTTATAATACCACTAACAGGTGGCCGTGGAATATTTAGTAGGAAGGAAATTTCACGGATGGACTTATTGCTCAGGTGACAACCTATCACGGTACCACGCTTGTAGTCACTGAGCTCCTGAGAGCGACCCATTCTTTCACAAATGTTTGTAGAAGCGTCTGCATGCCGAGGTGCCTGATTGTATACACCTGTGGCCATGGAGGTGATTGGAACACCTGAATCCAATGATTTGGAGGTGTCCCAATACTTCTGGCAATATAGTGTACTTTGAATTAAAGACGCCAAAGCACTGATTTTTAGCTGTGAATTACTCCGCAGTGGCTGCGATTTTTAAAATGTACAATAAGTCTTCAGATTTGGAAATGAGAATTATATTTACATATACTTAATATATACATATACTATACATATTACTTTAATGGCTCTTGAGAGTTTGTGAAGGTTTCCAGGTTAGTGTTTCCCCCATTAAACGTGCACTAAGAAAATATGGAGGCTGTCATTGCTGACACCTTGCTGTCATTCTGATCACTTCAATACATGTTGCTGATGCAGAGCAAACATGCAGATCAGGAGTTCAGACTCCATTCTGACATTCCATGGCTGCATATTTGTTCCAGGTCAAAGATTTAGAAAATACTAAAGCCATCGGATCAGCATGACGGGCAGCTTGCTGAAGGAGGTCGGCAATGCCTGCTACCTAATCTCTCTCGCTATAGGTTTTCTGTAAAGTGAATGTGTTTATTTTCTTCCTCCAAGCATGTAATCACGCTTGGGGAAAGGATTCTCCTTATCTCCATAGTATGGGGGGGAAGGTGTTCTGTAGTCCGTAGAGAGAACTGGGAACGATGCTAACAGTGAGCAGAGGCACCGAACACTAACTAGATGTCTGGTAGGATCACCCAAACTGAATTCTTTTTGACTGTATTAACAATAACAAGAGGTATATTTACCCAAACAGAAATGGAGCAAACACAAACATCATGGTTGGGGTTTACATGCAGTTTTTTCCCATTTGGAGTTCCACCATCTTGTTTTCCCTGGTATGGTTAAAACCAGATGTTACCCCTTTGCGTTATTACAGAAGTGGTTGCACGCTCTAATTAGTGTGCATCTAACGAGCCCTATTAATGGCGTATTGTGTCTGCACACTATATCTGGGACTTTGCCGTGCGTTGAGTGATGTGAGGCGAGATGAGTAGGAGGCATTGTAGAAGATGCTCTGCGTGTGAAATGTGGGCTGAGCCTGTGTGATGCAGGATGTGAGATGGGCTGCAGTGCGCACAGATACTAGATGTCGATTTAACCCTTTAATCGCCACAATGATCTATAGCTGATATGTGTTAGGGATGATAAAACTGGGGGGG